TTTAAGTCAGAGCGAAGATTGCACACTGACAAAGCTAGAATTTCACTTTATGCCCATGCTGTTTTCAGGCTCGATCGAGAGGTTTGTGGCAAGAAATGCGTTTGATGGACAACGGCTATCTTCGACACAAGCGAGAACCTGGTGTCTGGCTTTTTGGACAGTTTGTACCACGATCCTTTGCGAGTACTACGTATACTTCTTCATACGGTGGTAGTGGTGGAGGTTCTGGTGGAGCGTATGGCGGTGCTGCAACAAGTGACTCATCCTATGGTGGCGCTAGCGCTAGCAACGAAGGCTACGGAAACGGAGGCGGGGGAACGGATGGTGGAACATACAGCGGTGCTGGTGACTCGGGTAAACTAGTATCTCCTCCAGGCTACGGTCCCGGTCCAGTGATCAACGCTGAGCCAAATGCTGGAGGTCTTTGTTGTCCATGTCAGCAGGGCCCTGTTGGACCGCCCGGACCACCCGGTGATCCAGGCCCCGATGGAAAAGACGGTGAAGCTGGCATGGATGGCGAAAAAGGCAAGGATGGCCAGGTATTTCAATTTTTTTAAAGTACGCTAAGATACAGAAGCACTTTTTCACCTGAAAAAAGTCAATGCAGTTTCCATGCGTTTTGTGCTGCAACAATTGCACAGGCATATTATCTGTGTGTGTGTTGTGTGTGTGTGTGTGTGTGTGTACGTGCTTGTGCATCTGTGTGTGTATGCGTTTCGAGTGCATTTTATTCGTTTTAGCCAAAATTAAACCTCACCCATAACACATTTTAGAGGACAAAAGTGCTTGCGCTCGCCGACCTTATTCGATCACAACGTCACAAAATTGAGATTGTATCGTCCGAAATACAAATTTTTTAATAGTTTCTATTTAAAGTGCAATGCGATGATAGTGATAGCGTTGCAAGAACGAAGGGCTGTCCCGCTCTTTCTTTGAAACAAAAACTGCAAAGAAAAGAATGCTCATTATAGCCGAATATGAAGGTGCTAAATTTTGAGGT